CATGTCGGCACACTCCACTCACGTTCCGTGGCCCGATACGCAGCTCCACCGACAGCCTCCTTTTTATCCGGAATCGTTTTTGACGGCCCCGTGGCCCGGCGAGGGCACCCGGAAACAGAAACATTCACAATAGATAATACATATCACTTGTCCCAAACATCCTGTAGTGTTGGAACCTCGTCTTGAAGCGACAACACCCCGCGTCACTCACTCGTTCACGCCCCCTCCTCCCTCCTCCAATCCCGGCTTGTGCTCTCGCAGTTCCGTTTCGGCACGCACCTCACACGTGTCGTGGCCCCAAGGGCAGCAGACACCGCACACACCGCCCCGTTCCGTTTCGGCTCGCACGCACCTCACGCCGAAGGCCCCAGTGGCAAGGTCCGCACGGCGGCACAGCCTAATTTCGGGGTACCTCTCACGTGCTTCGTGGCCCCACAGGGGGCTCCACCGCAAGCTTCAGTGGCAAAGTCCGCACTGCGGCACCGCGAAACCCCCGCGCACCCCTCACAGGTTTCGTGGCCCGTATGGACATAGGGAGCTCTAACGAAGGCTCCTTTGACAACGTCCGCATGGCGGCACCGCTCAAGTTTGGCGCAGCCCTCACACGCTTCGTGGCCCCATAGGGAGCTCCACCGAAGGCCCCAGTGCCCCAGTGGCAACGTCCGCCTGGCGGCACCGCCCCATGTTGCGCATCCCTCGCTTGTTTCACCGGAGACCCCAGTGGCAAAGTCCGCACGGCACCGCCTCGCCATTTAGGCAGACCCCTCACACGATTCGTCCGCATCAATCACTTGCCTTGTGGTACTCGCAGCTGCACATGATGATTGGGCCGTTCGCCAGGATACTAAGTTCACAACGTTGGAAGTCTGGGCACCGACCCGACGTACGCAGGTCTGTCCATGGCCACAGATTGGTGGACGTGCCCGCCTCCTGGCGCGAGGAAGGCGTCCACGCCGACCCTGGGCCCAGGATTGGCCTGCTCAGCATGGGTGCAGGAGGGTGGTTGGCGCCCCCCGGATACAAGGTCTCGAAACCAGTAGCAGGCAGCTCGATCAGTGCAATACATTTGCCTGGCCGTTGTCGCCAGCGCAAACGAGTGCCAGTGCAACGCAGGAGAAGGGGCTGGACAGGACGACATGCCGAGCGAAGCAGGGATTGTCGTAGCCTATTCAATGCCAAAGGATGAGGATGATGATGATGATGATGATGATGATGATGATGATGATGATGATGATGATGATGATGGTGACAGTGGTGATGATGGTGAGGATGCTGCTGCTGCAGATGATGCTGCGGCTACTGCTGCTGATCATGTTGATACTGCCACCTGCTGCTGATCATGATCATGATGATGATTCTGACGATGAGGATGATGTTGGCCATGATGATAATAAGGATGGTGAGGTGAGTTAGGATGAAGTTGATCGAGGAAAGGGAATGAGGATGACTGGCGGGAGAGGAGGATGACGAGTAGACAAATGCGAAGGCAGAAAAAGTGAAGAGGGAGGAGGCGGATGAGGAGCGCAAACATCAAGCAACGCGGAAGACCGAGCAACACGGGGATCGTCGCAGCCTATCAAGCGCGCCTGAGCAATTCGGAGCGATATAAATCCAGCCCTCAGGATGGGGGAATGAGGGGCAGGAGGAGGAACACGGGCAAGAGCAGGACAAGGACCTGGAACCGGTAACCTAGGCAGGAAGATCGTCTTAACGAGACCCAGCCGCGGAGCAACGGAGCTGGTCTAGGGGCCTCACTTGTAAGCGCAAGCACGCATTCGACGTCGGCGGCGTTTGGGGGGGGGGGAGGGGCAAAGGCGGAGAACGCGAGGGTTTGGGCCCCCGTTTCGAATAGGAGATCGACTACAGAATTGCTGTACTCCAGAATCGCTTCTACGTCGAATCCACGAAATATCTGCGAACATTATACGTTGTTTTTCAGACTCCAGGAGAAAATCAACTCTGGTGCACACCACTTCTGCAGTCGATCCCCTACTCGACCATTCGGGCTTAAGAACAAGCTGGAATCGGCACGTTCCAACAAAGCACCACAGCATCCTCAACATGGTGAAGGTCGGCAGATTTCCTGACCAGCGCCCGCACTACCAAGAGTGTAAGTGAGCACGCGTGCGACAAGCGAATGTCCCCCCCCTGTCCCTGCACTGCGCAGGAGACGTAGCTTGTCTCCACCGACAGCAGCCAGGGAATGCAGACCGAGCCACCCGCTGCTTCTCAGGAAGACAATCCCAATCGTGCGGTTCACGAACAGACGAGCCCAGCAAGACACGCGCCCCGCCACTCGGTTCACAAGACTCCAAGCGCAGAACTGTCCAATGTCTCACGATAACGTCCGCTAGTGGCCCCGGCTGCCCTCTCCTCTGACCCTCCCCAGGTAATGCCACGATTCGTGCTGACCTCCTTTGGGTGTATTTCCCTACCTAGGCTCTGCCTAGAGGGTTCTTACTCTCTTTCTTAAAGAGGCTGGGCAGTGGAAACCGCCCCGGGAGGTTCCCCCGGTATCCGCCCCATGGTTCCCCCAGTTGCGCCCCCTGGGTTCACCCAGCTTAGCTTAGCTAAGGTTAGCTTTAGCTTAGCTTTAGCTTAGCTTTAGCTTAGATTTAGCTTAGCTTTAGCTTAGCTTTAGCTTAGCTTTAGCTTAGCTGTAGCCTAGTTTTAGCTTAGCTGTAGCTTAGCTTTAGCTTAGTTTACCTTAGCTTTAGCTTAGATTTAGCTTAGCTGTATCTTAACTTTAGCTTAGAGTTAGCTTAACTTCAGCTTAGCTTTAGCTTTAGCTTAGCTGTAGCTTAGCTTCAGCTTTGTTTTAGCTTAGCTGTAGCTTAGCTTCAGCGTAGCTTTAGCTTAGCTTTCGCTTAGCTCTAGCTTACCTTTGGATTAGCTGTAGCTTAGCTGTAGCTTAGCTTTAGCTTAACTTTAGCCTAGCTTTAGCTTAGCGTTAGCTTAGCTTTAGCTTAGCTTTAGCTTAGCTTTCCTGTTACTACTAATGCTGCTTTCCCAGGGGCTCCAACTCCTAGGCAGGGTCGCACTGGGATATTCCTAAACATTCCCAGGCGGCGCCAGCGCGAAAGCATGACGTTACCGGCCCCGCCCCCCCGGTAACGCGCGTTGTCGCCCTGGAATAATAACGCTCTCAGGACTGGCTCGTCATACAGTCTTGATTATGTAGAGCTCTGCTACAGAGCCAAGCAATGTGAGTCGTCCTTTGCGCCTCGCTCCAGAGCTGCAACGGTGTTCGCGATCCGTGTGGCGCAAATGACGTGCATGTTGTTAGCCGCGAGTGCAACTAAGAGAACACCTCGAGTCTCAACACATATGTGATCATGGGGCCATGATGCGGCTCCAGGACCGCGCCAGCGTAGTATTTGCCGAGATTGGTTACAAGAAAGCTGTGAGTGGCGTGCCCACTCACCATGCACTGCCGAAGGTAGCCGACCCGAAAATAATGCCGACCCAGCAAACCATGAACAAGAACATGTTGACGCCGCACTTATACGTCCGCTGCCTTGCTCCGACCTTCCGCCTGCGGACTGTTCTACTTCCACGGGCTGCTGCAGGCGACTAGATGCGACAAAGGCGAAGCCCTCTCTGGAACGCCCCCATCTGCCCGACGCCTGCTGGAGCCAGCTGCGCTGTCTCCACTGCACGCCCAGGCAGGAGGCAGGAGGGCTGCTCGAGCCAGGACGACCACGGAGAGCGCGGGAGCGGGAGCGGGAGCAGCAGGAGTTGCCCTCGAGAGGGCCAGGAGACAGACACTGCGGCTCAGAACGCGGCCCCACACCGCACGCTCAGGTCCGACTCCCGGGTGGCGTTGGAGACGGCGTCCAGCCCTAGCGCGGTGGACCTCTTGGAGCTCCTCGAGCTGTGCGCCGACCCTGGCCTGACAGGGGGAGAGTACGGTCGAGCCTGACTGGAGAGGACACGCGAGAGGACACGAGACCCTTCCGAGGGCCGCACTGCCACAGGAATGTCGAGGGCATGGGTCGCGAGGCACAGGACACGAGGGTACCCTTGACTTGGCAGGGCCGACCTACCAAGCAGGGCCGACAGTCTGCCATGCAAGCTGGTCACCGCGTGAAGAGTTCCACCAGACAGCTCGGGGACTGCGGAGAGGAGGAGGCACCCGAGGAGCTGCACCGAGCAGGAGGGGGGAAGGAATGACGCCAAGAGAGGGAGAGAAGAGGTACACGTCGTTCATTTCTAACCGTGCTCACTTCTAATTGTGCTCGTTTCTAACTGTTCCTGGCCCCCTAGTGGCTAGGAAGACGCCCAGGATAGGACACTTAGAAATGAAAGGATCTTGCCCCCCCCAAAAAAAAAGCAAAAACTTTCCAAGGATTAGAAATGAACAGTGTGTAACGTCAAAAGAACTTCACCACAGCGTTCCCAGACCACCGACGGTAGACGGAAACAACTGAAGAACACCCCCACCCTCCCCCAAAAGTCAAACGTGTCAAGTTTGGGAGGACCGCGGCGAACTGCAAGTCGTCAGGACAACCATTCATCAAAGGGGGGGAGAGGGGAGCATTACCACATGAAAAAACGAGTGTTCGTTCGAATTGGCCCTGGAACCGCGCTCCCTCCCCTCCCCCCGACAAGCCGAAGGCTGTGACACACCGCGGGCACTGAACACATCGCCTCGTAGGTGGTCGGGGCTTGCGCTGTCATAACCAGCCTCGGGCTCCTCCCGATCTCTGAGACTGACTGGCCCAGGCCGATCGCAACCTTGGGGGTGTGCCCTCGGAAGCTGAGGGGGTCCTCCTGATCGACGCCTAGATGCCAGCTGAAGGCGATGCCAGTCCGAGGGATGCGGGTGCGCCTCGGGCTGGTCATGGAGATCTCCCCCCTGGGGCCTGCGAGGCCTCTCCGACGACGAGCGGCACGGCCCGTCCCGCCTCGCGCTGCAGGGCCTGACGCCGCCGAGGGGCGGGACGCAGTGCGGAGTCTTGGGGCGGGCGGAGCCGAGGCCGAAGATGCGGTCGTTCTCGTCACGGTTCTTCAGCTCCATCCTGGCCTGCTCGATGGCCCGCTCCTGGTCCTGGAGGTCCCTCCTCTGCCGCTCGAGCGCGCTCATGTCCTCGGGGCGGCTCTCCTGCGGGGGCGCCGGAAGGGGGCAGGACTGGGGAGCCGCGAGCCGCGGACGTCGCTTGAGGCCTGGAGGGGCCGAACAGGATGACCATGATCCTCGAGCCCGTCTGAACACACCACAAACTCCCCATCCCAGTCAGATTCCACCCCACGGGCCACGTTCAGTGTACAAGAACCACGCCCCACAGAGGGAAGTTTGTATACGGAGCCCCTGACCCGGACCCTCGCCCATCCCCCAAGGCTCTGGGGCATAATCTACAAACTTTTCGGGCGGACATGACCAGGACTGGGCGCGGAAACGTCGGTGTAGATCTAGGCCATCGTCCATCCTGGTCATCGTCAATTCGTGGATCATCCTCGCGGATTCGCGACGGCCGGCATGGACCACGACCAAGATCGACGTCGACAAGATCAAGCGGCATATTGGTCATGAGTATCGCGTTCTCCCCCCGACCTCCCCCTTCCCTCAGCCATCGTCGGCAAAGCAAGCGCCGACGCACACGCAACGTCCGCGCCGTTCTATATCCCCGACCCTCCCTGGAGGCGAAGCGGTTCGCCAGCGCGTCGTGGGCCTCCTTCGCCGCAGCCTCTCGGGGGAGCACGGAAATACCGATGCCGCCGCTCTCCCGCCTCCTGCCGTGCGCTTTGTTGATGGGAACGGCGGAACACATTGTCTGCCGGGGCTCCGCGCGGGTTTGTTGGATCTGCGCTGGGCCACTGTGGCGGCGCCTCCGACGCCGCCCATGGCGTGCTCCGCGAGCCAGGGAAGGGGCCCAGCGCCAATCGAAGAAATCCGCGCGGAACTCCGAAAGTTTCTGTTGATGCAGTTTCTTATTCTTCGAGTTGTGACCATGATTCCGCGGCGGCTCTAGCTGTGGCGACGACGGCACTCCATGAGGCACAGAGGAACGGAAACGAAGGATGGGATACTAACATCGATACATTCATCTCCGCTGACCTCTTTCGCGGCCGACAGGCAACGAGCCGCCTTGAAGGCGGCCGCGAGCCGGCGCTGCTGCTGGTTGCCGGCCTCCCACGCCTTTCAGATCGGCGCCGAATTCGGAACATCCCTCGATCCTTGGCATCGACGTGGCCCGCTCCAGAAACCCTGACATCCTTCATAGACCCGCCGGCTTCCGCTGGCCTGCCGCCGGCGGAGCCGCTCCCTTGTTCTACTTCCGCCAGCCTCTGCTCGCTGCCGCCGAGGGCACGGCCACCGAACGCGAGGCCTTTTTCTGGAGCGAACCTCGTGTCGCTCCAGGCTTTTCCTGGCAAAGCCTATCCAGAGGTCGTCTACTGTACGCTCAGGGTGGGCGTCGGTGGCGGAACTGCTGAGAGCCACCCTCGACCGTTGAGGATCGAAGAGGGACATCATTTGACATGGTTGGTACTTCTTTCTGCGCTGTTGGCCATGTCTAGGCGTCTGGAGGCCTCCCACGAACACGATCCGAGGCGGAAATCCAATTGACTCCTTTTACCCTCCCCTTCCTCCTCCAAGTCGCTCAGGTGTGTAATTCCATCTTCGCCGGTACCCGTTGTGCAGGTAACTGGCTGTGCGGGTCAGCTGTTTCTGAGTCAGCTGAGTTACTCGAAACTTCGCAGCTCAATGAGAAGGTCTTCGGCCAAGATTAGCTCAACAAGTTCAAAACTCTGGGTGCTGGAAACGCGCGAAACCACTCCTTGCCTGACATGTACGGTTTTTTCCCCAGACCTGGACCCCAGCAAAGCACACTCATAGCAGGATGATGATGGGGGTACCCAGAGGATCTCGAGAAGTTCCTGAGATGGTACTGAGAATTTCCCGAGAGGGACATGAAAGGGACATGAGAGGATCCAGCGAAGGGCAAAAGAGGGTCCTGAGAGACTCCTGAGGGGTCAGAGGTTCCTGAGAGACACATGCACATCTACATATCTGAATATATATATATATATATAAAAAAAAGTCAACTGTGTATATGTAGGTTCGTTATACATGCAATGTCTGTACATGCGTATGTACGTGTATACGGCGATACGTATGCACAGCCATGTGTACTCTGTATAACTACGTATCTGCAATCAAGCACACACAAACATGTGCATATATGGCTACGTACAAGCATACACACGCACATAATGCGGAACGATTAAACTATGGGGCACCCATGGATTCGTTAGGATCCGGGGTTGATATCGCAATGTCGCCCAAGAGGCATCCGAGCCGACAGAGACACACTCCAGCAACGCGACGGCGCCACGCACGCAGCCGCTGGGACCTCCCCTGGAAGAGATTCGCACCTTCATTCAACAGGAAGGCCCAATAGCGAGACGCTAGCAGGGACCAGATACGGTGAGGGTATTGGATGAGGAACCCTTGGATAAGGAATCCTGGGGCCTGGAAGCTGAAAGGACTCGATTGGCCATGGAAATTACCGCCGCCATCATTAGACAAGGGTCCCCCCAGGGTCTGGAGCCTCCTGGGCACATTCCGGAACGAACGCCCCCACCATGTTGGGGCCTGACAACGAGACGCTAGCAGGGAATAGATACGACCAACACGCCGAACTGAGGACCCGACCTCACGTTTCTCCGGGGCACCAGCAGTGAAGAGCTCAAACGGCACGACCGCCCGTTTCATTAACATGTCCTGCTGGCGTGCTTGGAGCAGGGAAGGGGGTTGGACCGGGTAGAATGACGACGGAGATGGACCGGCGAGGTGCAAAACCTCAGGAACGAGAGCAGGAGGAAGCTTCATGACATAATCGTGCTACGACAAGGAAGGCTAATATGTAAACGAGAAAGCATTTCTGGCCACGGCGAGCCTCGGCCACGAACGGCTTTCCCCACCTAGATCTGAGGAACGACCCGAAAACCCAGAGCACTTCTTGAGCCCAAGGTGGTCCTTATTTCAGCGTCTTGACTGTAGGATGGTGGGTGAGTGGGATGGGAACGCGCAACGACGAGTATCGAACATGAGTGAAGATGATGAGGGCGATGAGGCGAGAAGGGGGGGAGCAGGAATTTGATGTTTTCGGAGTGGGAATGGGAAATGCGTCAGACGAGAAATAACTGAAAATAATTTGAGATCGGTGAGAGGAGGAAAAGGAGGAGGAGGAGGAGGCGGAGGAGGAGGAGGAGGAGAATCAGGGGTAGGAGGGGCGGTCAGGACGAGGAGGGAAAGTGAGACGGCATACATAATGAGCCTGGCGAAAGACCCAACCATTCGCAGATGTGAATCCGCCGATCCGGCGTGTGAGTTTAAGAAGTCTAAGCTGAAGCTGAAGCTCTGCTTCAGCATGAGCTTTAGCTCTGCTTGGGAGGGGGTGAGGGGGGGGGGACCTCATTAACTGACGAATTCAGTGCTCGGTACCTCCCCCCCCTGCCAGCCCCCAGGAGAGAGAGGGTGTGGGGGGGGGGGGGGGGGGGCAGGAGAGAGGGGGGGGGCAAGCTAGGTGCGCTCGCGTCATATCTGACGTCCTACCCCTCCCTCCCATCCCTTACCATGGCGCTGATTTTCTCTATCCGCGGACGCGTGTCGTAGCGGACCTGTGGCTCCGCGCGCGCGTGCGTAGTGGGTGGTGGTGCGCGTGCGTGCGTGCGTGCGTGTGCGCGTGGTGGTGGTGGGTGGTGGTGGTGGTGGTGGTGGTGGTGGTGGTGGTGGTGGTGGTGCGGCGCGGTGGTGGCGGGCGGATGGGCGCGCGAGAAAGAGGCCCGCGCTGGGGCGAGAACGCCATCCTGAACGACGGAGGCCAAACACCGATCCGAAAATGAGGCCCACGCTGCAGCGGGAGCACGATTCGGAACGATTCGGGAGCAGAAATGAGGCCGGCGCCTCAGCGAGAGCAGCATTTTGAAAAAAAACGCAGGCGAAAACCCGTTTCCCGGGAATCCTGTGTGTAAAAAACAGTACGCGGGGGGGGGTCGGCCATCTTCGGGACGCCATCAGGGGAAGTGGGAGAGTATTTTCATATTGTGTAATTGTGGAGAGGGGAGGGGGGGGGACAGGAGAAAGGGGGGACAGGAGAGGGGGGGGGAAGGAGGAGAGAGGGGGGAGGGGGAGGACAGGAGAGAGGGGGGGGGAGGAAAAAGGGGGGGGGAACAGGAGAAAGGGGGGGGAGAGGGGAGGGGAGGGGGGGGGGACAGGAGAGAGGGGGGGGGGGACAGGAGAGAGGGGGGGGGGGACAGGAGAGAGGGGGAAGGGGAGGGGGGAGGGGACAGGAGAGGAGGGGGGGGGGACAGGAGAGAGGGGGGGGAACAAGCTAGGTTCGCGCGCGTCATGTCTGACGTCCTACCCCTCCCTCCCATCCCTTACCATGGCGCTGATTTTCTCTATCCGCGGACTAGTGGGTGGTGGTGCGCGTGCGTGCGTGCGTGCGTGTGTGCGTGGTTGTGGTGGTGGTGGTGGTGGTGCTGGTGGGTGGGTGCTGGTGGGTGGTGGTGGTGGTGGTGGTGCTGGTGGTGGTGCTGGTGGTGGTGGTGGTGGTGGTGGTGGTGGTGTGCGTGTGCGTGTGTGTGTGTGTGTGTGTGTGTGTGTGTGGTGTGTGTGTGTGTGTGCGCGTGTGCTATGGCATGGCACGGGAAATGACGCCAGCGCTGCAGCGGGAGCACGAGTCGAAACGGGCGGAAGCGCGGAAATGAGGCCAACGCTGCAGCGGGAGCACGATTCGGAACGAGCGGAAGCACGGAAATGAGGCCAGCGCTGCAGCGGGAGCACGATTCGGAACGAGCGGGGCCCGAAAATGAGGCCGGCGCCTCGGCGAGAGCAGCATTTTGAAAAAAAATGCATGCGAAAACCCAACTCCCGGGAATCCTGTGTGTAAAAAAGCAGGACGGGGGGGGGGTCGGATACTTTCAGGCCGCCATCGGGAGAAGAGGGAGAGTAGTATTCATATCAAGCTAGGTGCGCTCGCGTCATATCTGACGTCCTACCCCTCTCTCCCATCCCTTACCATGGCGCTGATTTTCTCTATCCGCGGACGCGTGTCGTAGCGGACCGGTGGCTCCGCGCGCGCGTGCGTAGTGGGTGGTGGTGCGCGTGCGTGCGTGCGTGCGTGTGTGCGTGGTTGTGGTGGTGGTGGTGGTGGTGGTGGTGGTGGTGCTGGTGGTGGTGGTGGTGCTGGTGGTGACTGTGGTGGTGGTGGTGGTCGTGGTGTGGTGGAGGTGGTGCGGCGCGGTGGTGGCGGGCGGATGGGCGCGCGGGAAAGAGGCCCGCGCTGGGGCGAGAACGCCATCCTGAACGACGGAGGCCAAACACCGATCCGAAAATGAGGCCCACGCTGCAGCGGGAGCACGATTCGGAACGATTCGGGAGCAGAAATGAAGCCGGCGCCTCAACGAAGGCAAAACAATTTGAAAAAAACGCAAGCGAAAACCCGTTTCCCGGGAATCCTGCGTGTTACAAAACAGTACGCGGGGGGGTGTCGGATATCTTCGGGACGCCATCAGGGGAAGTGGGAGAATATTTTCATATTCTGTAATTGTTGAGTAATTGTAGAGAAGGGAGGGGGGGGACAGGAGAGAAGGGGGGGGACACGAGAGAGGAAGGGGGGTGGGGGGGCCGGGATCATCACCATTTCCATCACCATCACCACAACCATCGTCACATTATCATCATCATCATCATCATCATCATCATCATCATCAGCATCATCATCATCATCAGCATCATCATCATCATCATCATCATCACCGTCATCAACATCAGCATCAGCATCAGCATAATCACCATCACCATCATCACCATCATCATCCAGAGCGCCCACGATCGGCGGCAATGGCCGGAGGATACTACAATAGATATCATCTTCGGTGGCGCTCCCTTTGGGCCACGAACCGTGTGGGGGGCGTGTCGAAAATGGATGGCGGGGACGCATGGGAATGTCGCGACTGGCACCTTCGGGGGAGCTCCCTATGGGGCCGCGAACCCTGTGAAGGGTGAGGCGACATGGGCGGCGGGGGCGCATGGGAACGTCGCCACTGGGGCATTCCGCGGAGCTCCCTTTGGGGCCACGAACCGTGTCGGGGGCGTGCCGACATGAATGGCGGGGACGCATGGGAGCGTCGCCACAAGGGCCTTAAGTGGAGCTCCATGTGGGGCCACGAACCGTGTGAGGGGTGTGCCAAAATAGGTGGTGGGCACGCGTGAAAATGTCGCCACTGGAGCCTTAGGTGGAGCTCCCTATGTGGCCACGAACCGTGTGAGGGGTGTGCCAAACTGGGTGGCGGGGGCGTCAGGGCGAGGAGGGAAAATGAGACAGCACAAATAATTATGCGCGCCAGTACCTGACGTGAAAGACGGGGGGGCGGGGCAACGGCGACAACGACGCCGACGACGAGTGGGGAAGTGAAAGATGGAGCCATGATTAGTGAGTGAATATTGAACGTAGGAAGTAGTGCAAAGGAGGGCAATCTGATAAGGGCGAGCAGTGATAGAGTGATGAGAAGGAGCAGATGCGTGGAACAGTGAAGCAGGAGAAGAAACCCAGTGGGGGCGACGATGGAGGACGAGGCGGGGAGAGGATCAGGATTGGGGATGGGTGGCGATGAAGAAGGAGAGGGAAGAATAGACACATAGGCGAGGCAAACGGATGGTACGGCAAACGAAGGAAGATGAGGACGAGGTGGACGACGACCGCGTGCGATGAGGAGCGATGGTGGGGATAGACGGTGCAAAGTACAAAGACATGCCGAACCCATACAAAACATGTGCATGTCTTCCCCTCGCATCCCTGATACCTATACGACCACCCTGCGGGTGATAAGGAGGTTGTGGGGGGGTGGGGGGAGGGGGGTGGCTCATGACGACAACTGTGGTGAACGTGGTGCTGATGGGCGATGATGGTGTGGATGACGTGGCGGATTTTTTGTTGTTCCTTCGTTTGGGCGACTTGTGTCGTTCGGTTTGCCGCTGCGCGACGCGGCACTCAACCCACGACGTCCCAGTCGACGATGGGTGCACCGACGGGCAACCGACGGGACAACGTGGGCTACCGGCGGGCAACCGACGGGCAACCGACGGGACAACGTGGGCTACCGCTTGACAAGGCCGGGGGGGGGGGGGAACATTTGTGTTGGCGGACCCCTAGCGACAGCAGAGTGAATTCTTCTCGCTGGCCCACGCAGCTTCGCCTCGCCCGCACGCACGGCACGAGCACGAACTCGAAACTCGATTTCCCGGTGGGGGGATTCCGTTACATAGCGATCTCACCCCCCAACTTCCGACTCCCATCCAGCCCGCTCTCCGCCTCTCTGTCTCTCTCTGTCGCTCTCCCCCCTCCTTCCCACACATAACGACATGCATGCATACATGCATGCATACATACATACAACAAACTACACACATACATACATGCATACACACATACATTCACGCATTCATGCACCCATGAAATGAATGTACGCGTGAATGCATGTGTACATGCATCCATGCAGCCATGCAACCAGACATGCATGGTTACGCGCATCCATGCAGAGAAGCATACCTACATGTATGTATGCATACATGCATGCACACATACATTTCTACATACACGCATTCGCACATGTAAACGTATGACTGAATACCTGCACGCACATGTGTACATTGATGCATACATACACACAGATATACACGCATGCATAACTATATACATATACAAATACATTTAGTCATACATATACGCATACACACATTCAACAGTACACACTCTGTGCATACCTACATCCATCTAGATCCATCCATACAGACATACAGACATATATGCATGTATACCGACATACAAACAAACATAGGCAGGTATGGGGCCATGCTCACTTACTTTATCGCATGTTTACCCTTGTTTTACCATCTGAGTGTATGTACACTTCTCCCTCTCTTTCTCTCCCTCTCTCTCTCTCTGTTTCTCTCTTCCTCCCTCTCTAGCCAACCAGCCAGGACGCCCGCAGCGCCGTTCGTCAAGGCTAGTGCCCGCTGCGGCAAGCGGGGGGGCTGCTTCCACCGAGCCGCCCGCCTTCTGCACCTCCTGCTCCTTGCTGTCTCTCCAGCGCGCCTCGCTCTCGCGCAGCTCGCGGCACTTGCCCTCCAGCTGCAGGCGCAGCTCGGCGCGCTCGGCCTCCAGGGCGCGCACGCGCTCCTCCATGGAGGAGGCAAGCGCTGCGCGCTCGGCCTCGCTCCGCGAGCTCTCCTCCCGCGCGCGCGCCTCGGCCTCGGCAGCCGTCCGCGCGCACTCCTCGCGCGCAGTCTGCAGCGAGCTCTCCAGGGACTGCCGCTGGGCGGCCCACTCGCCCTGCAACCGCGCGACCTCCGCGCTGTGCGCCGTGGCCGCCAGCTGCCTCTCGGCGGAGTGGCTGTCCCTCAGCGCCTCGGCCGTGGACTCGCAGGCCGCCCTGGCGCTCTGCAGCTCCGCCGCGGCGCGCTCGAGCTCCCCGGTCCGGAGCTCGAGCTCCTGGCCCGTGCGCGCCAAGTCCGCCTCCAGCGCCTGGCGGCGGCGTATGGCCTCCGTCGACTCCAGCCGCAGTTGGGACAGCTGCGCAGCCTGAGCCCCGTGCTGCTCGCGGGCCTCCGCCAGCTCCGCGGAGAGCGCGCTGCGCTCCACCTCGGCCCGTGCGGCCTCGCGCGTCAGCGCGGCCTCGCTCGCGCCCGCGCGCTCCAGGAGCTGGTCGCGCTCTTCCGAGATCTTGGCGAGCTTCGCCTCGGTCGACTGTGCGCGCTCTGCCGCCGCGGCCGCAGCGGAGGATTGCTCCGCCTGTGCGGCCTCCGCTGTGGTGGCGCGCTTCACCAGCCCGTCGCGCTCGACGCAGACCCTCTGCAGCTCCTCCTCGGCTGCCCGCGCCTTCTCGCCAGCCCCCGTGCAGGCGGTGTGCTGCTCCTTGAGCTGCCTGCTGAGGTCGTCCGCGAGCTGCGTCAGCCGCGTCATCTCCTGGTTCTGCTCCTCGGACACCGCGAGGAGCTCGGCCACCCGCTCCTCCAGCTGCTGCACCTGGCGCCTGAGCCGCGCTGTCTCCAGCTCCGCCTCCGCCTGCGCCTGCCGGGCATCCTGGAGGTCACCGGAGAGACCCTGAGCGTCGGCCGCGTCCTCGCTCAGCCGCCGCACCTCGCCCTCCAGCCGCTTGACGGACCGCCGGAGCGAGTGCGCCTCGTCCCTGGACTGCTGGCACTCGT